ATATATTCTATATAAATTTCTCATTTGATTTAAATAATTCTTAATTGATTTTTTAGCACCCTTCAATGGTGTACCATTCCATAAGAGCGAAAATCATCTGTATCTCAAAATTTTATATGATAATTACAGATTATCCTATTATTGTGCTAATAATTTCTATATCTTTCACATTTAATCAGCAAAGTTTTTGTTAAATTCTCACACTATCATTTTGGAAATTTGTTTTTTAGAAAATGTATAATATTAATAAGTTCCTTTCTTACAGGTCAGGAAAAGAAGCCCAAAGAATTAACATCAAATTTAAAGATCACTAAGGAAGACACAAATTATATTTCACCAATGCAAAACTTCCAATTTGGCTTCCCCTCTAATAAATACGAAGACGATAATCTGTATATCGGAAGGGCACATAACAATGACTTACCACATGTTGCTGGGAAGCTGACATATGGTTCACAGAAATACAAAAATTACATTGGCACTGAAACAGCACCTGAGACAAATGTCCTTGGTGACACAAAATTAATTAATTTTGCAGACAATAAAAGAGAGAGCACATCAGCATTCCAAAAAAGGTAATTAATTAAATAATAGTCAATGTATCAAGTTAAATATCTGTGTAACAATATGAATTTTGATATAGTCTGATTGAGAAAAACAATAACAAGTAGTTTCTACTATGTGCTAGATACTGTAATAACTCTGACATTCTAATCTCAGGTTCAAAGAGTTTATAATTCAATGAGAAAAGACAGTAAATAAATAAAAATAATTGGTTAAACATTGTATAATATCAGAATTATTTTGATGAAATATACAATTTGAACAGAGTTTATCAAACTTTTTGTTGTCATTACCCCTTTACATTTAAAAATTATTGGTAATTTCCAAAGACATTTTGTTTATATGTATTATATCTATTGATATTAATCATAATGGAAATTAAAATTAAATTTAAAAATGTCTGAATTCATTTAAAATAATAATAAATTTATTAAGATAAATGGTATTTTATCATATATAAAAATAATGAGGACAATGGCATTGTTGAATACTTTAAAAATGTTTATAATGACTAGCTTAGTAGAAAACAACTTTATTCTCAGACCCGCTTTTACATTCATGCTGTTGTAATATCACATGACATGTAACTTTTGGGAAACTCCATGTATACTAGTCAGAAAATGAAAGAGTAAAAGGCAAATAGTGCCTTGTTGTTAAATGCCACCGAGTCAGTTTAGGCTCATAGTGACTGACCTGCATAGGACTTCTGAGGAGCAGCTGTTGGGTTTGAACCACCACCTTGTCAGTCCAGTGCTTTTACCACAATGCCACATGAGGGCTCCTTATTAGTATTATGAAAATAGCTTTGATTTTATGGGCTTCCTAAAAGAGCCTCCCAGATCATCCTTTGAGACTTGCTATGCTATATTCAAAGAATGCTTTCCTAAGGAAGTAGATAGTTTAAATATTTGTTATTCAACTTTATTGATACTTTGAGCAAATAAGCTAAAAGGATAGACTGTGGTCAGAAAATGATAAATCAGAATTATTGACTTAACAGCAGGAGCAGTTCTGGATAATGATAAAGTTTAAGATGAGAGGATAGATGAGTGAAGCCATGTGAAGGAAAATGTTACTGAAGATGAATTGTCTTAAGAAATGAGAAACCAGAATTTTGAATGAATTATCTACGTGAATGTTGAAGTAACCCAGAATTCTGGACAGAATTTTAGATTGAGAGGAAAAGATTATAAAGTAAAAAGGAAGGGTGGGGCAAAATGATAAAGTGAGCAGTCAATTCTACTTATCTTCCAGCAACTAACCCATATTAAACAATGATTTAAAGCAAGCAAAAAGTGAGATCTCAGAATTCTAGATGGCAGCCAAGGTTTTAGAGAGCTGAGTCCAGAAACGGGAGAAGGGGGAGCAGTATATTAGTTACCCATTACTATATAACAAATTATCCCAAAAGTTTTTGCATAAAACAACAGTAAACATTTTTATCTTTCTCAGTATTAGTGGATTAGAATTTAAGAACAACTTGACTGATCATTTTGGCTTGGGGGTCTTTTTTGAAAAAGCATGCATATGTTAGGGAGGGCTCTCATGGGGTTACAACCAAAAACTTGGCCAGGTTGCAGTTATCTAAAGACTTGACAGAGGCCAAAGGTTCCGCTTTCAAGGTGACTTGCTTACAGGGGCTGGCAGGTTGGTTGTTGATAGCGTGCTAACTTAGTACATTTTTATATTGTTGTTGTTGTTGTTGTTAAGTGCCGTCGAGTCGGTTCTGACCCATAGCGACCCTGTACAGGGTTTCCGAGGGTGTAAATCTTTACGGGAGT